TTTCTTTTTTTTTTTTTAATTTTTGTTTATTGCAGTAACATTGGTTTATAACTGTCTATATGTTTTCAATGAGAACTGTTGAGTCAGGAATTTTGAAAAATTCTGATTTCGGTTTTTAAATGGGTATAGATATGAATTGGGCATAATACCCATGAGAATTATACATTTTCCAATTGTCTAATATTTTAAATTAGTGTCTACTGCAGTCCTCCATTATCCACAGTTTCACTTTCCGTGGTTTCAGTTACCCGTGGTCAACTGTGGTACAAAAATATTAAATGGGTGAGAGAGAGAGAGAGAGCGAGAGTGCACATTCACATAACTTTTATTACAATATATTATTATAATTGTTTTATCATTAGTTATTGTTGTTAATCTCTTACTGTGCCTAATTTATAAATTAGACTTTATCATAGGTATGTGTATAGGAAACAACGTAGTCTATATGGGGTTCAGTACTGTCCCCGGTTCAGACATCTGTGTCTTGGAACATATCCCCTGCGGATAAGGGGGGACTACTGTATAGGAGTTTAATGTCTTATAACATTCCTAAACATTCTCTGGGGTCTACTGTAATTTTCACATTATTATCTCATACTTTAGTTTTAATGGGTTTGGTAAAAGTTTTGAAGTTTTAATATCAGTTTTTCCCACTGCTCAGAATTTGATGATATAAAATGAAAAGAGGTTTCCATAGTTGCTAACATTCACCAGATTTTGTTCCAAAGCATGGGCTTTAGTAGACTTTTGAATTAAATCCACATTCTCCACCCAAGCCTAGTGATATAATCCAACAGTTCAAAGATAGGTATGCTATAAACAGCTATAGTTAAATAATCTTAAAAAAAATTAAAACATGGAAATACAATAAAACAAGACTTGATCACTTTATAGTGGAATACTCTATAAACTGTCTGCATTGGAAACATGTGGTGAGTTTAAAACATGTGAGCTCTATAATTCTCAAGTGTATGGTTTATTTGAAGGCAGAAACTGTTTTTCTCCTCTGCGTATATATAAGAATACAGATTAATGTATTTTTTGCTTTCACAATTTGTATTTATTTTTTAATTTGTAATTTAGAAAAATCACTTTGGAGTACAGATATATAACATAAATATATTCACTTCAACTAAATATTTTGTCACTAAATGCTGAAGTGTGATCATAAAGAGATTAATTCTATAAATCTTGCTACTTTATCTATCTTAGTCTAAAACAAAAATCACACGTTAACATAATCCCAAATAAGAGGAAGAAATTATTTAAAATCTCATACATGATATAGAAAAGTAATAGGGTCTTTAATTTTTTATGATCATTTTAATTTTTAAGGTATGCAAGCTTACCTTAGTGTCATTATATCAATTGTGTAATAATTACAGGAGCTGAAATGTACCAGTGGTTTTGCAATGTAATGTCTGCACAATCTCATTTAACTGTTAACTAAAGTCATACGACACTCCCAAGTACGAGACGATTGAACTCTTAAACCATCTCAGAAAATGCTGCTGTAGATTATACTGTTTTAAATGGAATAATTCACTTTGTTTTCTGGGTTGCCTAGAAAGTTATATTATGTATGTACAAGCAATGGTCTATGTAATAGCCTGCTGGGGAAATAGAGCAGTGTTTACTGAGCAGTGAAAAGGCTAGTTCAATTTCTTAGCTTACTCAACTTTTTTTTTTCTTTTCTGTGAGGAAGATCGGCCCTGAGCTAACATCTGCCAATCCTCCTCTTTTTGCTGAGGAAGACTGGCCCTGGGCTAACATCCATGCGCATCTTCCTCCACTTTCTACGGGACGCCGCCACAGCATGGCTTGACAAGCGGTGTGTTGTTGCATGCCCGGGATCCGAACCGGCAAACCCCGGGCCGCCGCAGCAGAGCACGTGCACTTAACCGCTTGCGCCACTGGGTTGGCCCCTCAACTTTTTTTTAAAGCATTTTTTCATATACTAAAAAAGCCCCCCCAAAACATGTAAAATGAGAATCTTTCATAAATACTGAAATTAAATGTTAGATTGTGATATCCCTAGCACTGTAAAATTTTGTTCATCCTGTTTTCTTCTCATCTCCACCTGTTCCTCCTACAAAATGAATAGTGTTTTTTAAAAATTACATTTTGAGGTAAAGAAGAAAGCACATGTGATTCTCGAAATAAGAGTTGCTGCCCTTAATTCCTGACATAGTCTGAGGACCCTAGCCTTTCCCCACATGGCCCTCCCCAATGCTTGCCCCTTCGGAAACAGCATCTGAAGCCCCCCTGGATGCGAGGGTCTGGAGGAATCACATTGCTTAGGGAAAAGTAAAAAAATGAAAGGGGCCCATCTTGAGAGTGTGGCATCTCCACTGGAGCTCTTGGAAACTTCTATCCTGTGGCACAGACCAGGGGCAGATCAATTCGCATCTGGGCCTCACTGTCCCACGTATTTAATGGGGAAAGTTGCGCTGGCTGTTTTCTAAGGTTTGTTCCAGTTCTAAGAGGTTGTGATGTTAACTTAATGTCAGCATCCGCTGTTGTTTATTGAGGCTTCCTCTGTGCTGAGCACTGTTCTCTGATTGCATGTTTGTAATCGCCCTGTCTCAAGATGCCTTAGAGACCAGGCTGCTGAGACTTGGAGAGGTGAGATAAGGAGTTGTAAATATCCTGCTGCTAGTGAGGGCCGAAGCTGGGTTTGCAGAGGCCTTTGACTCCCAAGCCAGGCTCTTCACCACTGTGCAAACTGGGCAGCTTCTGCTGAAGCTACCTGGGTTGTGGTTCCAATCCAGGAAAGGCTCCTGTGCGCTAGGCATGGCAAGTATACAAAGCAAATGTCAACTAGTGCATAATGGTTCCAAAAGGAGGAGGAAGAGTTTCATTTTTTAAGTGAAGTGTCTGTCAGGTGATGAGATTTCCTACTGCAAAAAGGAAAGCTTAATTTGAATAGTTTTTCGTGTCCTTTGTAGAAGTAAAGGCTCAGTATACAATTCCGCACCTGGCCTCCTTTTAAGTAAAAAAAAAAAATGAACATAATTTGTTTAGAAAATTTACTTAATCACAGCAAACCCAAACTAGAAATTTTTAGCCAGGACTAATCTTGTCTGTGAGGAGAATATTTATTATGCAGATGGAAGTAAAGACTAAAATAGCTGTTAATGTCTTGAACACTCTTTTTATTTTGTCAGTTTTAATAGAAATGAACGAGAAGTCACGTTCAGCTTTATCTCTGGGCTCAGTGCAGGGTTGTTTCCTGAGAGAACGAGCCTCTGGGATGGCATGTAGAGGGGCGGGGGTGCCTCTCCACTGTGTGCCCCTCCTCCTGCCGGCTGGAGCTTCTCCTCGCACCCCAGACAGGTGTGGTCCAGTTGAGGGGGAGCTACAGATAACTTCTTGCTCTGTGCAATTCATTTTGTCCCCAAACCCAGCATCAGCAGTCCCTCCTTTTCCCATCGTTTCTGTCCTTGCCGGATGCATTGTTTTTGCTTTTTGCTTTCCCCTTTTTCGATTCTCTTAGCATACACTTATCCGAGGAGGTCATATTTTGTTACACACCCGCTCGGTGCTTTTTGATCCTCTGGAAGAGCACCTATCAGGAGGTGCAGGCCCTGTGTGCTGTCAAGTGGGTCTTGAGCCTTTCCTTAAGTTAAAGAAGAGACATAGAGAAGCTGGCCTTACAGCGGACTGTTGACTTTGTCAGATTCTCTCCCTTGCTTCCCTTCTGTGCTCTCCTGACTCGTTCTACAGCAGTTGGAGATGAGGGGCACTAAATTGTGCTCTCAAGCATGTTCGTGTCAAAGGCTGTCTGTATTGGGTGATGTGTAGCTTGCTGTCTGTCCTCTGGGTCTGAATGACAGAAATGCAAGAACTCAAATGACCTTATCTGTTTTGCTGTTTTAACCCTGAGTGTGGACATGTATTTGTTTATTTTCTTATTTATGTAAAGTGCCAGGTGGGCAAGAACAAATGGAATATTTCTAAAAGTCATTTTAGTGTTTATTTTTTAAAAGTACCATCTAGGAAGATACTGTTTTTGAAAGTTTGAATTTCGTGGTGTGAAGAGGCCATTCGGTCCCGTTTGTTTCTCCAGGGGCAGCTCAGAAGCACGTTTGTGCTTGGAGAGTGCTCATGGTTGTGGGATGTGATCTGGTCCTTACTGCCCACAAGACACGTGGCTGCAGGAACCCTAGGTTGTTGGGTTAAATGGGAGCCAGGCTTTTGCAAATCTCAGGTAGAAAGAGAACTGTAATATGTTTATGAAAATGTGGAATCTTTTTGCTTTAGGAATGTGGAAAAAGTACAGCTTTTCTCTTGTGACTTTTTCAGTTGGGTGGGTCTCACTCAGTCGCGATAGAAAGCATTATATCTCAAAATGTGGACTGAGGATTGTCTGCATCAGAATTCCCCCAAGGGCCTGTTAAAAATGCATATTTCCAGACTTCCTGGGTCAGAATTTTAAAGGGTTGAGGATTGGAAATCTGCACTCTCAAAAAGCATCCCAAGTGATTCTTCTGCACGGTGAAGTTTGAAAACCACTCTTACAGAGTTGTATATGAACTCCACTGCTTCCAAGGGCAGGAAATACCTGACATCACTGGTACTCTTGCTCATATTGGTCTATGTAGCAAGTACTTTATAAAATAAAGCTGAAACTGTTATTTGAACCGTGGGCCTCGGCAAAGGCTCTCCCTCTCAAGATGGTCACCGCCCAAATTGCTGTAGTAAAAATGAGAACAACCCGCCACAGTGTTGTCCTTTGCCTCTTTGACTGGTTCAGATAACTGGCATGTGGAAAAGTTCAGCTAGAAAACATTTAGAATCTTCTGTGGTTTAGTCATTATGAATAAAAAAATTAGAAGTAGTTAAATTTATAGAGTTAAGCAGTTACTGCAAAATGTGTTAAAATGGGTTGAAATCAGTATTTTCTCATCAGAGTTATATTGTATAATTGAATATTGCTTTAAATACAGAAAGACCTGATTTTGCAAAATATTTCTTTGCTTTTTTTTTTTTTCTAACAGGAAAAACTAACCCAAGAGTGTGTATTCAGAGAACAATTTGAAGAAAACTGGTATAATACGTACTCTTCGAACCTGTATAAACACGTGGACACTGGAAGGCGATACTATGTTGCGTTAAACAAAGACGGGACCCCAAGAGAAGGAACGAGGACTAAACGGCACCAGAAATTCACACATTTTTTACCTAGACCAGTGGACCCCGACAAAGTACCCGAACTATATAAGGATATTCTAAGCCAAAGTTGACAAAGACAATTTCTTCACTTGAGCCCTTAAAAAAGTAACCACTATAAAGGTTTCACGTGGTGGGTTCTTCTTGATTAGCTGTGTCGTCACATCAGCTCCACTGTTGCCAAACTTTGTCGCATGCATGATGTACGATGGAGGCTTGGATGGGAACATGCTGATTTTGTTCTGCACTTAAAGGCTTGTCCTCCTGGAGGACTGCCTATGCGCACTTGCTTGATTTATTGTGAGAAGAGCAGAGGGAGACTGAGCGTGGGGGTGTGAGTGTGTGAGTGGATGGGTAGCAGGGGAAATTGAAGAGAGAAGCAAAAGCCTAGAGGACAGCGGCCTGATGCATGCTGGGAAATGGACACGCGTTTCCATTTTTGATCAGTTGTACTTCATCCTATATCAGCACAGCTGCCATACTTCGACTCATCGGGATTTTGGCTGGTGGCCTGCACAAGGGTATGCTGCATTTTCAAAGGCATAGAGGGTGCAGTCTTACTTAAAAGACTTTTTCAGTTAATTTTCACTGGTGTCATCCCAGTGAATTTCAAGCAAAGACCTCTTAGTAAAAAAAAAAAATTAAATTTATTTATAGAAATTCCAAAGGCAACATTTTATTTATTTTATATATTTATTTATTATATAGAGTTTATTTTTAATGAAATATGTACAGGCCAGATAGGCATTTTGGAAGCTTTAGGCTCTGTAAGCATTAATGGCAAAGTCCGCTGCGAACCTGTGGTAAATTCATGCAAGTACATATAATGGTGCATGGATATGAGAAACTCTGATGACCCTAATGTACTAAAGGCGACAATCTCTTTTGTGCCCGTATTATTGTAAACTTATGCACATCATTCACGACACTGAGTATTCACTCTTCAGACTGCTTGTTTCATAGCTTATCCCAGAGGATTAAAGATAAACTGGGTCTCAAACTTTTATTCTGTGTCTGTAATATTTCCTCTCTCATAAATGACTTCTTCCATCATTGTAATTTCATGGTTGGAAAAGAAAGAGTTGGTGTATATCCTATTTGTTTAAATCTATCGCAGACTATACCAAAGCTGAACAATAACTGTGCTTTTATTTTAGTTGGTCTCCAGAGCAACAGGACTAACAGCAAACGTACTGATTTAGAATTCTCAAAAAGGACAAAAAAAAAAAAAAAAAAGCTTATAAAGCGCAGATTTTTTTTTTTAAGGGACAAGAATCAGATTAACAGGATCATTCTTGTAAACTTTTTATTTGTGCACTTGGCTATCAAATATAAAATTATAGAAGTACAATAGTTACATCTTTCATAGAAAATTCTTTTGGTGTGAACTGTTACATTACATGATAATAGCACCCTTCAAGAAAAATTGCAAAATGAAACTAATAAATCTTCACTACTAATGACAATGAGGGGGAAAGTATTATACTTGTTGACTGTGTTTTATTTTTTGAAATGGTCTTCACAAGCATTCAATTTTTTAGAGGGGAGGTTACTATATAGAATATCTTTTGCAAGGCTTTTATAACATTTTATGCTGAAAAGCATAAGAATACATATTTCTTTAGTAGCAATAATTTTGGAACTTGCCCTTGGACAAGGGAGACTGTTTCTTACTGTATTCTAAGGAGAAAAGAGCCAAATTCTTAAAGCAATATTTAAGAAAAAGGAATTTATAATAAATTCTCACACCACATAGAACACTTTCTAACCAGTTATGTTGGGAAATTGAAAGTGACAGTTAGAAAATGTGTTGAGATTTATGCAACTAATGTTAAAATTCAATATTCCAACTTTGTTTTGCTCTGATGCACATTCTCTATGAAAAATAAGGTCTGTCACTGGTGACTGAGAGCTGTTCTGAAGCAGAAGCGCATGACGTAATGCCTCGAGCACAGGGGGCCGGTCTGTGGTCCGTGGCGGAGTGCGTAGCAGAGCCCTCCTGCTGATGTGCATTAGGGAGAGACTTTGGAATTAAGACATATTTTGGGGGGAGGGGACAGAAGCAATGTAAAATAGTGATTTATGATAAAGGTCAGTATGTCTTCTTCATTTATTTTCTTGTTTTTTTAACTTTCAAAACAGAAACTGCATTTAATTCCCAGATGTAGTGTTCTTATTTATTATTTAACTCTTTGCTGCTGCTGAAATGTGCACATATTCAGGCTTTAGGTTTTCCAAAAGGCATTTAATATTTTTGGCTGAAAAACATTAAACATCTGACCACAGGGAAGAATCAAATTTCTTAGATATCATAGGTACAATATTTAGCACTGAGGAAATTGACTTTAGGAGATAGCCAAAAGTAATCTTAAAGTAGCATGAGACACTAGATAATCAGCCTAAAAGAAAGAAGAGAATTTGTGAAAAAGACTAAAGTCTCCATGCATTCCTAGAAAATGCTACTTTAATGTCTACTTTTGGAGTTATTTTGTTTTGGTAACTTTTTTTTAAGAAAAACAAAATGTTATATGCTTTTGGCAATTGATACAATAAACTGTAATGGTCTGTAAATAAATAAATATTGACTTATGCAATTTATGTAAATAAGTGTTCTGGGAGAGTAGATGGCTCAGGGTTTCGGCATGGGCATTGTCCTATTGGGCAGTTCTTGTCGTAAGAGACCCAAAACCCATTGGATGGCAGCCCCAAGCCACTGTAGAGTGGGTGGTTCCAATTTTCACAGTTGCTCAGACAGCCAAACCACTATCTTATTGGTGCCAACACTTGCACCTTCATCAACGACTCACCGGGCATGGACTGAGCCACCCTCCCATCTGTCGGTGAGTGTCCCCAGGCAGTGTTGAAGGACTTGCCAGGTCAGTGTTGGGGAACCTGTTTCTGCCAGGTCTTGTTTTGTAGATAAACAAATGGCTTCAGTTTATGGTATTTTCATTCTATTTCATCTCATTAACACTACAACATTGTGTTATTTACTTGATAATCTGTAATTGTATGTAAATACATACAGGATTATGTAATTTGTGTAAATACATAATTACAGACTTTTGAAAACTGGTATTTTTTACTTGATGTCCATTTTGGAGCTGCTTCAGATTATGTGCCTACATGAACCAATGGAATTTTAAAAACATGCTCTCCTTGCTCTTACAGCTGTTGCTTGTGTGTTGAGGGGATGGAGGGATGTGGGGGATGGAGGGGGAGGAACAAACACATCCAGATGTCTTTTCTTTTCTGAAAGCATTAGAAGAAGAAGCGAGTAATCTTCTGGGATAAAGATTTATTAACTGGCAGCAAGCAGAACACAGTGTGTGCACATTTACGTGGATGGTGAATGACAAAGGCATATTGTTTCAGGTCAATTTCTGTTTGCTGCGTCATTTGACCTTGAAATGTGCCAAATTTAGATCCACCATTTGTGGTCACTTTCACGAAAGAGCAATGAAATAGTGGGGGTGGGGGAATAGGCCAGATGGATTCAAAAGATATGTTAGCCACTGAGTCCCTCTCAAGTGTGTATGTGTTACATGTGTTATATATGCTAAAAAATACCCACGTGTGTCCACAGACATTTTACATTGTAAAATTGATAGGTTATTGTTAAAAGTGGAATGGGGAGGAATTATAAGAATAAGCTGTGCTTACCTCCTTCAGTATATAGCCCTAAATTCTGGGATTCAGGTTTGTAGAAGGAATACTGGCCACACAGGTTTGGTTACAAAGGTGTGAACAGTGGCTTGGAGTGTGATTTCTACCTTTTATTTGCTGTGTGCCTTGGTCACTGCATTTTCTTAGGTCTTTAGAAAATTTTTTTTCCAGTTTTATTGAGATATAATTGACATACATCACTGTATAAGTTTAAAGTGTACAGCATAATGATTTTACTTACATATATTGTGAAATGATTACAACAATAACTTTAGTTAACTTCCATCATCTAGAAGAACTTCTGATGTAACCTTTTCTTCACCAGGGAGGAACATGCAGAAATAAGAAATAGCCACTTTCATAATTTTCTTTGGGAAGAAAGTGAAAATGAGTATTCTTGATGTGTCTTCTTCCTCTTGCTTCTGTGCAAGCGTGGTCGTCAGCTTGATAGACATCTGGCTCAAAGGCTGGACGATTATCATGATGACCACCAGGGAGGCAAGTAAAACACCAAAGAGAGGCCTGTTTGCTGTTTTGGTTAATGGTAAAAGAGAAAATTCTTACTTAGATTTCTCATTAGTCTCCAACTATATTCCAGCTTGTATCTTGAAAAACATTTTTACAACTTAATTTAAAAATTTGTAGGCACACCTATATCTCAATAGTCCTTGGCAAGCTGTGCTTGTAACTGGCTCTTGCTTTTTTTCCCTGTCCTCTTCTGAAGATCCTTCTAATTGTGTTTGTGGTTTTAGTTATGATTCCCATTGTTATTAGTGGACTTAGCCAGGAATATTTGATACCAGGAACTAAAGAGTTAAAAGGAAAATTGTAATGTGGATGTTCAGAGCTGAACAACTGGCTCTGTCCTCACACAGGGGAAGGGCGAGCATTATTGACAATGTTCATGGCCCAGCAGGGAGAAACTTATTTTTAAAAACACTCATGCAGGCTTTTTCCTAACCATTTTGTGAGATGTTGCAAAACATTCTGTAAGCTCCACTTGGCTGTTGCCTCTGGCTTCTAGTGTATGCATATGTACATGGTTGGTAGATGACAGCTTTGTGAGATTTCTGTTTCTGACTAATAAGAGGAGGGCTTTTCCTAGTTTGTGAAGATATTAGAGTTATAACTGCTGTATCAGAAGGAAGTGATACTCCCAACATCTCTTTATTCTGTGGTTGACCAAATTCTTCCTTTTTCCCCAACTCTGTCCCTCCCTCCGTCTCTCTCTTCCTCTCATCCTAATTTTCTTTTCCTCGCTCCCTCCCTCCTTCCTTTGTTTTATTGTGTGGAGCTGGCATCAGCAATAGAGACAGGCGAAGTCACTGATGGCACACACAGAATTTAAACAAATGGGCAACCTGGTATAGTGTGATGAACGCTGTGATAAGGAGGGTACGGGGGCTGGGGAACATAAGTTGCGCCTGATACAGACTTATGAGGACCCGAGGTCGTGATGTGTAAGGTTAGATGAAAAAGATGAGTAGGAGGTACAGAAGAGACAGCTATAATCTCTGGCATTCTATATGTCTCAAGAAAGTGCTTTGTACTTGGAGAATTTGGGCTCATTCTCTCTTTTACTGATGTTTCCTGGATGGCTGTGATTGAGCCTGATTGGCCAGCATTAGTCTTGGAGGGTTTCCTTTCCCTTGCAGAATGGCATTGGTTCATGGAGATGATCAGAACCAGTCTTTGAGTCACAGCAGCTCTGTTGCCCTGCACTTATTGAGGCTGTGCTCAGAATGCTCTTTTGTTACTCTTGGTTTCTATTCCAGAGGAAGGTAACTCTATTAGTTTTTGTTAATATTAGTCACTTTAATTTTTCGCCTCACATTTACTTCATGTCACAGGCAAAATCCACAACACAATAGCAATTAAAATATAGAATAATTAAAGAGGTGAAAATATAATCTATAAAATGTCCACTTCATTCTTTCAATAAATGTGTATTGCAACACTGACATGGAAGAGTGCTGAGGATATAGTAGGGAAAAAAACAGACAACGTTCTGATCTTGTTACTAAATACCAGGATGGGTTCTATGTCAATGATTATATAAACATGCAGTTCCCATTTAAGATGCTGTAGGACTGGGATGCTCACTATAAGGCAAGTAGGACAGTGTTGGCAATTTTCCATGAACTTCACCTGTCTTCAACTATGTATTCGGTTTACATTAATATGTAAGAACTCAGTTAGAGGCAGCCCCATTCAAATCCTATTGTTTTAAGTAGGACAGCATTTTTTTTTGGTGAGGAAGATTGTCCCTGAGCTGACATCTGTTGCAAATCCTCCTCTTTTTGCTTCAGGAAGATTGTCCCTGAGCTAACATCTTTGCTA